GGGGAGGTCTTCTCAGGCACCTGCTGTCCAGGGTGCCCGAGTTTCTTCCCTGCTGTGCTACTGTTGTTATTCCTGACTTTGATAGACACAGTAAACCAAAAACTGAATCCCCCACTGTTTTGGTGCGATGTGGTGGTGCCCTTCAGGAAGATAGCTACTGCCAGTAGCGAGTGCCTCAAACAGCAGGAGTTCCTTACGGCTGAGGGCTTCTTTAATCTAGGTTTCTTTGTCGGCCTGTTGTAAGAAACGCTTTTCTCCATGTAAACTTCTCTCAGATGGCTGTGCTGAACAAATATACCTTATTTTTACTCTCAGTCACCAGTGAACATTCTCAGAAATGTGTTTCATTAAGATATGGGTGAGGTACATATATCCTCAGCACCTCTGGTTTTGAATAATCTCTTCAGTGCCTTTGTAAAAACAGAAGAAAAAAAAAAGAGCAACACATAAATATTCTGAAGCCTGATAAGTAATATTTATAGGACTGAACTGAAATAATTGCGACAAGCATTCAAGCATTGAAAATTTTATATTCTAGTGTATACTTTTCAGTGGTATATTACATGTTCTTCAGCAGAATACCTAAGAAGCTGCAGTCTTACTCAAAGTATAGCATTCTAAAAATGTTTTTTTTTTTTTTTTAATTATTATTTTTATTTTTTATGGCTTAAGGTTTTTTCTTCTCTCTCTGAAAACTTTTAAAGCTTTGATAATTTTTTGTTTTAAGATTTTGCATTTTTAGTCGTAGAATCATTAAGGTTGGAAAAGACCTTCATGATCATCTGGTCCAACCATCACCCTACTACCAATATATTGCTGCTTTTCCATCTTTAAGACAGTAGTTGCTAATTAAATGTTTAGAAAGCTGGTATTTTTCTGAGACTTCTGGTATGCTCATGAAACTGACACAAGAACAATTCTCTCCTATTGACATCAAACTTTCTTGATTAATAGGCATCATAACCAAATCTGTGAGCACTTTCCTCAGGCCATTGAACATGTAAGCATGTCCTCTGTGTGAATGAATTTCTGATGATCTTTGGATTCTTCTTCCCTTCCCTTTTCTTTACAAATTCTGGGGTGATATCAGGTGATTGTGAGAGACAGAAAGGGATGGAAGAACTCCAGATATGAGGTGTAAGTTTTTTGAAGTTTGCAAATTTAATGCTAGACTTCCAGGACCATGTACAGGGATTTAAATAAGAATTGCTCAGTCTGAAAGCTGCTCAGTATTTATAGATTCTGTGTTCGTCAGTGAAGTAGGTGAATGTTCAATATGCCTGAAAACCAGCATACTTCAAGGAAATACTATAAGCATTGATTTGGGGACCCATTGCTAAGCATAAGCTTAAATACAAAGGGTGGTAGTAACAGAAGACTCCATTGCCTGCTGTTATCATAGCACGCCTGAACTCCCCATCAAAATGAGTCCTGTGAACATAAAATGGGAAGCATTATTTTTCAAACTTTTTAAATGGATTAGGCCAATACTGTAATCCCGAAAGACTGAAGGTCTAATATTTTCCTTTTTCTTCCCAGTGTTTTATTGTTACTTTTATCCTATCTTTGTGAGGTCTTTCATTCCCTCATACTACCTGCGCTTCTTAGAACATGAATAATTTCATGACTTTGTAAAGACCTAGAGATGAATTAAATTTGAGATGAAAGGAAAAGAGATTAATAGTGAACGGGAAAAAGCTTTCTGCTTTAAAAAAAGTGACTCTAATACTACGCACTCACTGCCAGTGCTTTTTTGAGAAGTATTTATGATCACAGATGTTTATAAGCCAAGACATTTCTGTTAAAAAATTGTGTGTTTAAGGGGTAGTTCTATTTATGTAGGGAACATATCCATTACAACTCATCTCCAGGTTTTACTTTTAGAACACTGCCACAATATTTTAGTATAATTTATTAAAAACTTAATAGGCTGTTAGCTCTCAAGTTGTAAATGAAGCATGTAGGAGGAAAGGAATTACTACTGTACAGCTCCTGCAACAGGGAATAATTACAGTCCTTCTAGGATAAGAAGGGGGTGGAAAAATACTGTGTAGTAAGTTCTGTATACTTTTTCCTCCAGTGACATACTGATTCAGCTTTAAAAATTGCATATTTATAAGCTCCTGGTGAACATTTGATTCCTACCATGAGACTGATCTGCAGAGAGAGTGAATGGTTATGGTTGTGTAGGGCCATCCAGACCCCTCCAGCTCATCTGGGACACTTCATGGTTGTAGCTCTGACAGCTGGCAATTGCAGCTCTTGTGAATTGACCAAGAGAGCAGATCTTAGGGGCTTGTTTTTAAAAGAATTCTGAAAATTTTGGTATTAATTTAGTTTGCTGGCTCAGGTTCTGTAAATGTTGTTTCTATTGCACCTACTATTCCTAGATGAAAATGGGAATGTTTTTGTCCATGAGCTATATTTATAGGTTGTGTCTGTCCCAAGGAGCTTGAAGTCAAGTTGGCCAATGATAGGAGAGAGAGAGAAGAGCTGGAGAAGTCACCTGGCTTGTCAGAAAAATGTGCTAGCTTGGTGGCAGGCTTGGGAAGAGAAACCAGACTTCCTCTGTCTCTTCCATAAGTGTTTTATTCACACTGGATCAGTATTGCTTGTATACTTCATCCAGAACCCTTCAGGCTGATGGAGATCCATCAGGCTTCAATTCTCAGGGTGCTGAGTACTTCATGGATTAAGATGTTTTTCTCTAGAATTCATGTACACAGCCTCATTCATCCTACCTTATACCCTACATCCATTTCATAAAAACAAATTCTACTTTGTATATAAAATAGTTCAATTTGGATTCTGTATGCATTGAAAATTGCCATTTATTTTGGTTCAGAACTCCCTTTTTTATTTTTCGTTACTTACAAGAATTAATAATGTCTTGCGCTTTTATAAATCCCATGATGATTTTGAAAATCTCTTATAACTATAGTTATAACATCAAAATGAATTTTGTTCCAGTGAGGAAGAAAATCCAATTCTTTTCATTTGTTCTGTATAATTACTTATGAATTATAGTGCCTCAAAGGAGTGACACTTTCTGGCTTTTCTACCAGAGACAAGCCATAACCTGTCTTTAAATTACAGATCTCTGAGGAGGCTGAACCTTCATCTTCTTCAGAAAACATCTTTTAACCTGTGAATAACTAATGCTGGCTGGTTAAAAATAAACTACTAAATTGTCTTAAAATGGTTAACCCCAGGTATGTAAAACACAGACAGACGAGTGATTTCTCTGAAATATGGCTTTCATATCTGGTCTACATGAATCCGAGGGTAATGTTTTCTCAGCAGTTGATATTTCCTACTGAATTGCACTAAGCAACTATAGAAGAAAAAGCTTTTACAGAACAAAATTATTTTGAAAGTTACTGGAGTTGATGGACGTTCTGCCAAACAAATCTCCTCTGTGTGGAGCATAGGGGTGCTTTTTAACTTCGGACTAATACCTTATTCTGTACAGCCCAGCTGGAAGAGCAAACTGGTGCTCCTTTTCTCTTTGAATCTGGACCAGGGCTTCACTTCTGTCAAAAAGAAACCTGTGCTTCTTAAGCAGCTACTCCATTTCCAACATGGACTCTGCATCAAGTCTACTCTATTGGAAAAGGATAGAAAGCTGTTATCCACCTCCAGTAATATTCCTGCTACTACCAACTACAGTGCTAGTAAAGGTAGTAACTGCATAAAACCTGGAAAAAGAGCTTTTTTGAAAGGCTAGCAAAAAGCAACACTTGCTCAAGGAGGATATGCTTCATCCCACTGATTGCTAGAAAGCATTGCATGTTGCAAAACTGAACTGCGCATTTACAGCTGGGATTTTCACATTCATTGTGAGCTGGGCACTTAGTGTAGATGAAACATTTATTTTACAGATGCAAGACCTTCGTTGCCAAATATTGGGGCATTGATGCTCTCTGGTCCTCTATAACTCTAAAAGCTGTTGACTATGTTACGGAGTCTATAAACTGGCGATTGGTTTACTTAGTGTGAGTGCTATAAACTGAGTATCCACCAGCTGGCAGACAGAACAGGGGAGGCTGATCTGAGAAATTGTCCTTACATTTGCTCATCCTACAGGAGGCCAGGAATCTTACACTTCCTAGCCAGTAGTGAGTTACTCCATTATTACAGCTCCGTTAGCGCTTTGGGCCCAATTATTTCATATGTGTACTGTGATTCAAAAACTTAACCAACTTCAGATGGTGGCGGTTACTGGCGTGCGACATGGACTCAGCCAGTCATTCTGCTGTTAAGCATGAAGCAACTCGAAAGAAATGGTGGGCAAAAGAAGAAAGGAGAATAGAAAGCCACAAAGACAGTGCAGCAATTGGTGCTCTTCCACTGGCAAAGCAAAGTCTCGTTGACTATCCCTCAGTCTCGATGTTGGTAGTATTTTACCAGCAGCCACTCTTTCTTGGATCGGAAGGAAGACTGTGAAGTTTGGGAAGCCTTTGGGGTGAGCTGTGGAGTGACCAGGCTGCCGAGGTGACCTTCCAGGTGTCCACTGCTAGGGCACACTCGGAATTTCCACCGAAGCATCGTAGGATGTGAAAAGTAAGACACACTACACTGGAAGAAGACATCTGCAGCAGGTTAGCGTTTGCTGCTAATGACCATACAGCAACTGAAGACCCAGGGCAGGAAGGTGCTGCAGAAAGGCAGCATGTCCCCCTACAGCACTACAGGACCCCACAAACCAGCTGTGGCCATGGGTGCTGAGACAAGGGGAGCGAAGGTTTGGGGCTCAATGCCAACATCCCGGGCGGCTCCTCACCGCCGAGATGTGCCTACCCCAAGACCCACCGGCCCCCCTCCGCCCCCCAACGCTGCCATGAGGGCACAACAGCCGATTTTAACCCCCCCGCTGCCCCGCTGGGGGTTGCCACGGCCTCCTGTGGGCGCCTAGTAGCCCTGCGGCCATCGCCCCCCTCACGGCCGCGGCCCCCTCCCGCCATGCCCGGGAGCCCCGCCTAAGGCGGCGGGGCCGGGGGGGGGCCGTGCCGGTGCCCGGGCCAGGCGAAGGAGGGGAAGGGGCTGGGGCTGTGCTCCCCCCCACTCTTATTTTTCCTCTCATTTTTTATTTTTTTTTTCCCCTTTCCCTCCCTTTCCGCGTGAATACGCGGTTGGGGAGGCAGGCGAGCAGCACTCGCTCCGCCTGGGCGGGGAAGCCGCTCGGAGGAGGAGGAGGAGGAGGAGGAGGAGGAGGAGGAGGTGGGGGGGGGACATGAATATCTGCCGCTGCCTGCGACGCCTCGCAGCCTTTACAGGAGGCAGGACCCTGTGAAGCAGCAGCTACCCGGTGAGTACATGGCTGCTGAGGCACCCACCGGCTGCTCCTTGTCGCGGGCAGCCGTGGGGCTGGGGCTGGCAGCCCGCTCCTCACGGAGCCTCAGCCCTGCAGGGAAGACGGCGGCCTTTTTTTTTTTTTTTTTTTTTTTAGCAGCTCTGGGAGCATAGCCCTGAAGAAAGCCTGTTTGTAGCTCTGAAATAGGCAGGAGCTTTTATCTGGGCGGTTGGCAAGCGAGAGGCTTCGTGTGTTTCTTTTAAATTGTAGGAGGGGCTGTTTCAGGAAAATATTTTAAGGCTTAAGGTGAATAAAGGGGCGATAGGAGAAGTGAGGCAGCCCTGGGTTAAGCATCAAGGAGCGAGCTGACTTCTGCAGGAAGAAACGGGAAGGGAATTGGACTGTGCTGTGAATAAATGGCCGTGCTTTTTGCGGCAGAGCTCCGAGATGTTTGATCTGGCAGAGAAAATCCACCGCTGCTAACTACACACAGCGCCCGGCGCTGCGGAGGGAGTGCGCCCTGTGGGGAAGGACACCGAAACCGGCAAATAGGACCGATATAGGACGATCCCTCCTTCTCCTAACGATAATTTCATGTCTAAAAACGACCTTTTCACTGCCTCAGGTGCTAAAGCAGCGAGGGGAACGCGCTTCTGATGAGCGGTTCGGTCATTTTACGGACGCTTGTTCTCGGGGTGGGCACGGGAGAAGAGTGGCTTTAAGGAAGGCAATTCAGAAAACACATCTTAAAAAGATGTAATTTCTCCTGGTGATCTGCAGCAGTACTTCTGGAAAGCAGGTGCAACTGTTCAAATCCGTATGAAGTTCCCACTCCTGCATATGCAGTGTGATTTCACCAGATCAAGCAGGAGCAGCTATCAGGGTGGTAACAGCAGTGCTACCTGTATCTGAAAGCAAGCCAGCAACTTTACTTAAATACTGTATGAAGCAGAACCGAATCTGGGCATGCAAGCCCTTAGGTGTTGCCTACTTTGCTGTTGTCCCAGTGTGACCTATTCTGATCTGCTTTCTGTAGCTGACTTAGCGTAGGTCCTAACCGTAAGGTAACCTGTGCAGATGCAATGAAATAATTATGGTAAAACTTAATAGCAGCTGTTCTGATTGTGATGAATCATGCTAATCAGCTGTGTGAACAGCAGCTATTCCTTTCTGTGATTTTGTGATATATTTGTCATTTCTAAGGATTTGAAAACAGCAAAACAGCAGAAATACCTTTAATCCTATTAAGAGTGATGGAATTTACTTGACCCTTTAAACTGATGTTTGCTAAATTAATGCCAGATATGGAATAGATTGAACTTTAGTCTTTCCACTGGAGAGATTAAAAAAAAGAAAGGCAATTACAAGTGTTAGAATGGGAGAGAGGCAATCATGCAATTGTATATGGGATCTGCAGTTAGAATAGCATAATGCAGAATAAAATAAAACTCAAGCTTATTATTGAAAAAGGCCTTTTATTTCTGCTAATAAAACTGACATACCAATATTACGCTAAAACAGCTGCAATAATGTGCATACATTAAAGATGTTTTATGTATTGACACAGCCTGCCTTGAAAAGTTTGAAAACACTGGGCAATCTTTCCTCTCCTGGCAACAGGAGGCAATATTGCTAAGTGCCTGTGCTGTAGCGTCTGCTCTGGTGCTGCCTTCCCTTGGAGGTTTTGCCAGGGCTGAATTTTGCCGTAACAGATAAGCTGAATCAGCAGGCATCATGTTCTTCACAGGCTGCAGCTGCCCATGGCAAGAGTTCAGCTAAGCCAAATCCCTTGGTGGCATGCAACAGACCTTAGTTCCATCAACAAAACCCAACAAACTCATTTTCCAGGCTGGCTCATTGCAGGTAAACAGATTCTTCTGTGAGGATAAACCTAGAACAGAGTTTCTGACTGTGCTATAAATGGATTAATCAGTTACCAGGTAAATAGAGGCAATTAGTGTATACATAAATTCTAGTGTAGATACTTGCAACTGATTTATTCTGGTCAGAATTTATGGATCTGTTTAAAAAGTATTTCACTTAATTGTTTCATGACATCCTTGTTTGTGGAATATATGAGCTACTATGTCTGGCCACACTAAATAATTAAATGAATTAATAAACAAGAATTTTATGAATAGTGTAGTGTTTGCCTTCAAAGCTCATCCTGTGATGGAGCACAATTCAAGACAATATGGTGCCTTTAACAGATCTCCGTTGAGTGATAAGGTGGGAATTTGACTGTAAAACAGAAGTTAGTGTGATTGGCACGAATTAAAGTGAACCAAAACCTATTTTTTCATTCCCTGAATTATTTCATAGGAAATCATGAGACAACACAGTTAGTGTGGGCTGGCAATATATAATTCAGCTGGCAGCATATGCTTGCCACACTAAATATACAAAATAAATAAATAACTAAACCAGTTAAATTTTTGACTTAAAATTCACAAGAAGAAAGCTTCACGGTTGTGTCTCCTGACTGAAAATTAAAGTGTTCCTCACACTTAATAGGTTAGGGGTGAGACCAGAATGTAATTTTGGACCTGATTTGTACCCTGTTGTAAATAAAGCTCTTACAGTTGGAGTTTATGAAGTACTAGAATTTGGGATGTTGAGGTTAGAGGTGTTACCTATAGGTAATTGGTGACATAGTGTTAGGGATATGATACTTCTCAATGGTGATGGGAAGCTGTGATTCACCTCTTGCTTTTGGCTGATGGAGGAACTGGACTGTGCCATGCACTTAGCCACCTTTTTGGTATGATGTGATGCATCTCTGCCTGCTGGGTGTTCCTTGCTACTGGTGGGCTGTTTGTGTAATCCACAGTGGAAGCACTCGTGGCCTTTGGTTTGCTGATGGCATTGATGGAGAGAAGTGTTTGAGCTGGCACACTTACAGTTTTCCTCTGCAGAGCTCTCTTTAGCACTGAGTAAGGATCCAGTTTGTCTTTTATTGTGGGGGATGAGGTTCTCCATGCTCTCTGATCACTTCAGCATCAGAAGGCAGGTTTTGTCCGGTGTGCTGCGAAAGAGGAAAAGATTTGCTCAAATTGCTTTGGCAGTCGTTGTTTGGGAGCATGATATAAAGGAAGAGCCGTAATGTAATGTCACAAGTGGGCAATGTATTGAATGCTGCATGCAGAAATACTGGGTCTGCTATGAGCAGCAGTGACCGACAGGGCCTTTTCTCACAAGAGAAGCACAAGAGGAGTTGTGTGATCATTAGACTAAGGAACATCTCCAACATCCAGTTTGATTTTCACATTCCTTGTTTCACCACTCCAAAGTGACGTTGGTTTCAATCAGAAAGAATGCGTGAGTTTTATTCTGAGGTGGATACATGCACTTTTAGGGCACTCAAAATGCTTTTATTTTCAATAGTATTTGCATCAGTGTAATTATTGCAGTTTTGGTATGACTTTAATTAAGGAGTTTGGCTGAGCAGCTTGTGTTGCAGCATTAAGCTCTGTCTACTAAGGGAGGCTTTACCAGGAGTGGCCTGCAAGTGAAGCATCACAGTGCTTCAGAGGAGCAGGTGGAGTCTTAGGACTAGTAAAATATATTAGTTGTGGAAGACATGGGAGAATTGGTGGTGAAAGATGCCTTAAAGGATCGCTGGCATTCAGATTGTAATCCAGAGGTAGTCCTCTGAACAGGACTACATTTAGGTGTCCTGTATGGTGGTTCTAAAATGGAAGTTATGTGGTAAGATTGATTGTGGGATTTAATAATACATGCACACATTCACATTTTTGCATATAATTCTTTCAAAACTGGAAATTCATAGCTATATTTGGAGTTCTGCTTATCTGAGAAATACTTGCAGCTTTGTCCCTGTTACCACTGGTCCAGATCAACATCCAGTGTAAACAGGTTAATCAAAATCAGCGGAGTGGTACCAGTGTGGCCTTCATGCACCTTGCCTGTTGACTTTCTACTTTCTGGAAGAAAAAACACGCTCGAGACACATAAAATAGAGGGATTTTGCTTGATCAGTGGTGTTCCTACTCAGAGACTTTGGAAGGGTGATACATACTATCTATGTCAAGCTGCTAAAGCAATGTTTTTTAGCATGTTCTACAATAACCTCAGATTAGAGAGGTGCAGGTAGAATACTTGTGTACACAAAGCACACGGAAAAATGGAGATGTGCTTTTCCCATGGTAAGATTTTTGAGGGGTAGATCTAACATCTGCAAGTAGAGCCAAGAGCAAGAGCACTTTTACATATTGCTCATACTCCTCTGCTCAGTGATTTCTTTGTTGTTGTTTTTGTTGTTGTTGTACCTATGTAGATGAACAGTGTAACTGAAATCAGGACAGAAGCTAATCAAGATGCATGTTTCCTCTAACAGTTCCCTTCGCTTTGGTTTCTGAGTAAATAGCTGAAGGCACATCACGTAACAAGACACTTGAAGACACTCCAGGCATTTTGTTAGTTAACCTGGACATTACTTTGTGTAATGCCTATCATTATGTGGGACAAACACTAAAATAATAACATGGTATTATGTACAGAGGACTGAAAATAAAATAGATCCAAGGTTTGAATACAGATAATATTGTAGCATTCTGTATGTAATGGTAGACTAAGGAGATCTATTAATTTCTGTTTTCATCAGTGCTTCAGCAGAGCCTGTGCATTATGAGGGTAATTAATCTTACTGAGCAACCAAGAAAAAAAATATCTAGATGTCTTTTCACAAACTCTTTATCATGCCTGCTGCTGTTGGCTCATTCTTCTTTGTTCTCCAAATCTATTCCTGCAGTCACATAATTGATATGTTTGCATACACTGAGTCCTTGTCCTATAGGAATTTGGCACATGACAACCAGTTTATTTTAAAAAAAAAAAATAAATCAGTTCTTTTAGTAGTGTTGTGGCAGTGGTATGCTTTTAGAGTTCTATTTACCTGCATACAGGTAAAATTTATGTCCCTTTTCTTATTCTGTTGTCTCCTCCTGAGAAGCCAAACTGCTCCGCGGTTCCAGCATACGTGACTCCCTCATAGGTCCTGCCAGTGCCTAGGCAGAGAACCTGTTGCTTGGTTTGGAGAGCTTCTTTTGTTTTGGATGCCTAAATTTAAATACAAGCAGTGCAGCTTGAACGTGCGTTCAGGAAATCTCACTGAGTAGTTCTACCAAAAAAAAAAAAAAAATCCCTCTGCTGCTGAAAAAATTTGAGCAGTGTTCAAAATCAGTGTTTTGAAGGAGTTTTTTTCTTTTCTGTTATCTTAATATGGAAAATGTCACATATGGAAAATGAAAATATCACATATGGAAAATGACTTTCTGAAGAGTCAGCAAAGGAATCCTACAGAATAATCTATTTCTTTATCCACCAAAAACAATCAGTGACATACTGAAACACTGTGGTCTGTAAGTCATTGCTCTGAAAGCTCTAGAGAGCAATAAGAGCCACATGGCACAGTGCCATATGTATTAAAATTGAGTGCCTTGTAGAATGAAATGGATAAGCATCTTGGAATAACATACCCGCTTTTGTAAATTTACAGGTTGCACCAGTTGGCAAATTAAAAATCAGAAAACAAGAAGCTCAAAGAGTCGCTGTTACCAGAAAGGTCAGAATCAATGGACTTTGTGGATATAGATATGTTTGAAGACATCAGCACTTCCCATTACAAGGTAAAGCACAAAAGTGGTTTTTTCTGCCAGCTTGTTTCTCTTCAGGTAACTCTTTTGTGGCATTGCACGAGGTGCCAACTGAGGTGGTCTCTGAAGCTTGTTCTGTCTAGAGGCTCACTGCTAATAACTGTGGTCTACAAGAAATGTATAACCGGACAATATTCAGACCAGAAAAGGCCTAGATTTTCAAAGTTAGTGACAAATGGGGTTTCTCAGAGCCTGTAAAGTAACATATAAAGTATCTGCTCCGGTAGATCTACAGGTTGTATTTTTATGATGTATCAATAGGAGCCCTTCCCTCGCTTCACCTTTTTTACATGTGGTATATCATCGGCTTCTGTGCTTGTTAATTGCCCGGTGATGTAGATTGAAGTATACTTGAAACCTGTGCCTCTTAGTGCTGCATCTTAATCAGGAGAAAATGTGTCTAAACTAAATGTTGTTAGAGACGCAAATTATGCCATTTTCTTTGTACAGTCTTCGTATTCTTTCACTTCTAGGATTGCTGTGTGATTTGTTTACAAGAACTGGTACATTTCTTCTATATATTCCAATAAAAATGTTAATGATGCATTGTTTTAAGCTGGTAGTAGCGGAGAACTTCATACATTTTCTTGTTATTTTTTGCCTGATGCCTGGAAATACTGCCACTTATTCTGACTGCTTCCTTTACTGAGTTATTTTCAGGAAATATGCATGCAAAACAGATTTTTTTTTAAAAAATGAACTTGTAGAAAGATGTGAAACAAGCTAATATTTTAAAATAAAATTTCTCCTCAGTTTTGAAGTAGGTGTGGTTCTGCATGGCTGGGGGATGGTTGATTTGAGACTTCAGATTCCAACAATTCTGATCAATGCAGGATTGCTACAGAGCGAATACAAAACTGCAACACCAGCTCTGTGTTACTTAAGAACTTGAATTAGGCAGCTGTGCGGTTGCAAAAATGGGGACAGTACAACTGGTCTTAGCTGGTGCCTGCATGTAAACCAGGGAGGACTTTCAGCAGAAGTCTGTGTGATACTCCATGCTCACCTGCTTGTGGTAGATGATGAAGGAACAATCTCTGCAGGGGATGCATTGCTGTTGCTTCTGCTTTGTACAGAAATACTGATCAGTGTTGTCTATGTTTTTCACAAGCATGACATACAGTCTTCTCTTTGTTCTTTTGTGGAAGACCTAAGTTTTAAAGAGTTCCTCTTAAGGTGGAGAAGGAAACAAGTTATGGCATGACATCCTATGAAGTAGGAAATGCTCCCTCGTACACTGAAAGAACAGGAATGGAATGTGTGAAGTATTTAGAAAATGCACAGATAAGCATCAGCAAATAAAACGTACAAGGAAAAAACACATTGAAACTCTTGAGTGCTTGGGACATTCCAGTAACTTTCCACAATTGTTGCTATGGAATGTACGTAGAAAGACCATAAAAATCGTCAAGAGCTGCTCTAGATGACAGACACTTCTCAGACACTTCTCTGAAGTTTCATTTCCCCTCCCATACGCTCAAGTGATGCCTGGTGTCCACGCATGGGTGCTCTGATGCAATCTGTATCACTACGTACCTACTATTGTTTGGTTCAACAGGTACAAATACTGCTCTGACCTGTACTTTCTCATTCTGTACACCTCTACACTTGCATTTAGTGAAATCCCCAGCTCTAGTGCCAATCCCTAATATAATGGGGGCTGAGAGGTTAGAGCAAAAGCTTTGATTCTGCATATGAAAAACGAGGATACCATTTTGTGTTCTCACCTTGCCTACTTTAATTTTGTGCCCTTCTGAATAGGAACTTCCAAGTCTGTGCTCTCTGGCACAGGAAGGAGCCCAGCGTTGGATAGGGTCTTTGGCTGTTGTGTGACAAGTAATCCTTCCAAATAGGATTTGCATTCCTGCAGCAGCCATTCTGGGAATGGAGAATGAATACATAGAGAGAAATTCAGCTTACACAGACATAGCTCAGGTTCAGTCATTCAGAACACAAGTCAATCACGGACAGAGTTGCACATGAATTGACTCCTTTCTGAGAAGATCTGGTACTAGGGGCTAAGAAAAATGTAGAGGGTCAGAATGCCTGCACTGTCTTACTTAACTGGATTTATTGGCACATTTATTATGCACAGCAAAAATATTGTTACAGCCCCAGAGTTGCTTTGTTAGTTTTCGTTTCCAAAGGATGTCATCCCTGCAGTAGTTGTGGTGTGGAAAGTGAGCCAGAAACCCAGCTACTTCTGTGTACTTCTGTGTACTTCTGTGTACTTCTGTGTACTTCTGTGTACTTCTGTGTACTTCTGTGTACTGTCTGTGTCTTCAATTAAAACTTCATTGCTCTTCAGTGCTGTTTACTGTCTGCTTTAAAACAGCAGAGATAGCAGAGTTAACATAGTAAACTGTTTGGATCGTAGGCTGTGGGACAGAATAGATAGCTGGAGGTAATAATGTCATAAATGTAAGCTAGACCTTGAATTGCCAACCTTTCATATTGCCATTTATTTGTGGGCATTACTCTTTGTAGCCCTTTAGGTGTTTTTATCCTTTTTTTAATAAGAAATGTCTGAACCATAAAATAAAGCTGAGGAAGTAAAGGAATAGACTTCCTTCTAGGTTAGACTCAGCACAAGTATATCCATAATAGCAGAAGTTATGCACGTTTCAGTTAATTTGTTTCAGCAATCTAGGTTTTAAATGAAAGCTTTCTGGAAAAGCACCTAAAAACTAATGGGAAATAGTATTAGAAGAGTTCAAAACTGAATAAAAATTTCCTTCAACTCATCAAAATGTTTTGTAGCTCTTGTTTTTCCTGCAGAACAGAAGGATGTTTGTTCTTCGTATTGAAGCTCTCTCATACCGACTTGAAACGTTTATTTTTGAATGTTGGGAGAGCTGAAACCAAACCAGGTTATTTAGCTAGGAGTTCACAGCTTAGTGAACTATTTCCTTATCGTTCAATAAATTGATGTTATTTATGACTTGGCCACATCTTTTTCCTTTCTGATGCACTGAATTTCATGTTCCTATTTTTCTTTTTTACCAGTAGTGCTGAGGAACCCCAGGCATTGTCGAGACATCAATAATACCAGGTCCCATGCCAGGCCTAGCATAAATGCAAATGCTCCTTTCTGCAAAGAGCATCCATCTAAGAGGCAGGAAAGACGGACCCTGGAGTATGAGACAGACTTTTTTCATTAGCACAGTAAGCAATGGCTTCAAGTACTTTGAGGCAGCCAATTCAGACTTGAAAAAACTTGAAGTGATTGTATTTTAAGGTGGTGGAGAATCAAAGTATTTCATCCCTCCAGCTAGAGAGGGATCCTGAAGTTGCCAGTAATGTCGCTGTCATACTCCCTGAGCAGTGTTTTGATTTGCGTAAGAGCAGTTTGATATAAATCGACTTGGAAATGGAAGCAGCTTCTTGTCAGGGGGGTGGAAGCTTTGCCTTTTGGAAGCGAGGGTGACACAGAGCTTGCTTGTCCTGCAGTATAATTTGTCCTGACATTTGCTGGCACAGTAAGTTCTTACTAACTGCAGTGACACTTGCCCTGCGTGACATAATTCAAAACACTTTTTAATAATATTTCTGCTTGAATTGAAAACAGCCAAACTGTCTTGTCTAATTTCAACCTGTTTGATCCCTCATCTCCAGTGGTAAATTCTGCTTTGCAGGGTTTCCTTGTGCTGCCTGAAGGAAAAAGATGAGATAGTGACTTGTAATCCAGGTGCTCTTTGCCATTGACGTAACACCATCATAAGATCATGCTAGAAGTCATTGATCCTTCATCAACTAAATCCTGAAGGAGTTCACTTCAGGAGGTAACCCTCCCAAAGCAGAAGTGTTGATGTAGAAGTAACAATAAGGTGGTTTTGTACATGCCACCATTTATTACTGCTGACATTGGACACCAGTCACAAAACCTAGTATTTAAAAACCCATCAAAAGGAAAATGGCATGGAGTGAGACCAGAGCCTTCACAATCAAAAAGACTGCTGTTTTCTTGTTTTGATGTCGGTCACTGAGAGGGGATTTTTAGAACTGAGTTTTTAATTTGTTTCTCCAAGGAGAGTCTAATTTCTTCAGCAAAGAAGAATGCTTAAACACTTGTTGCCACTTAGGCATCTACTTGAGTAGTACATGATACGCTGCAGTTATTTTCCATCTAGTCTTCTGGAACTATAGCTGCTTTTGATAATGTTTTGTTCCTGCTGGTGCCACCAAATATGCAGAATTCACTCCACTTGGTGATTTGCCCTTCTTTGTTACTATTCCTACTAGTAAGCACTGATGCTTCTGTCAGGATGGGAGCACGCTGGTGCGTGTGATGGGGGTGAAAGTCTCGTGGGTGCAGTTAAACACATTCAGTAAAGTGTGGTGAGGAATTCACCAGGACGCAGACGTAGCTTGAGAGTATGACCTCTTGTTTGATAGTTGGTATAAAAGTAAACTGGTATAGTCAGTAAAATCAGACTGGGAAATGCAGTATAAAGGTAGACGTGCTATAATATTAGTCTAAGAGTGTCTGTAAGTACTAGCAAAAAGAAGGAAGCAGATACTTGAGTATACAGGATGCATAGCACTACCTCTCTTTTCTTGCCAAGCACAGAAACAAAAGCTGGGGATGTCGGCTACTTTTAGCTATCCATTTATTTCTTCTCAAGCTCCTCACAACCCATAATGAGGCATGGGTTTGAGGACAACCTCATATCAACTGCGTGTGGTAGGGAAATACCCTTACCCCATTCCCCCATACAGGTGGTCACTGAGCTTAGACCAGGACTGTGCAAAGCAGAGAAGGAAATTCTTCTTCTAAAACCCAGCACCAGGCTCGGCTGGTCGCTCAGGGCTCTTCTACCACAGGGTTGGTTTTTCTGCACAGTGAATAGCCCATACCACCTCTATCCTCAATTAGCTGAAGGATCAGTCCACTGAATTTTAGCTGCATTTCTAGGTCAGACTTAAAGTGTGAGAAGGTCACGCTCTGCTTCAGTTATTTGCTGTTCAGGAAG